GCGCGTCCGGTGAGTGGGCCGAGCCCCGCCGTCCGCGCCGCCTGTCCCGCACGCCGCTGTGCGGCGTGGCCGCGTCCTCCGTAGCCCACGAGCCGAGAGGCCAGAGGAGGCTGGCGGCCCGGGGCAGCGCGAGGGGAGCCGCTGTGGCAGTGGCCGTGGCCGCGCGGGAAGAGGGCTCAAGGTCGGGCCTGGGAGGCCGGAAGGAGGCGGCTGTGGCCTCGGCGGTGCCGCGCCTCTCGGGTGGGACAGCTGCCGTCCTCGGTGTCCCGAAGGCCGCGAAGGTCGGGAAGGTGAGCCTGGCCAGCGGGCGGCGCCGAGCCCGGTGGGGCCGGGAGGCGGAGCGGCCGGGGCGGGCCGCGCACACGCCTCCTCCCGGGAGAGGCTGCGGGAGGAAGCCCGCGCGCGACACGTCTCGCCGGCTCCATCCGCGCAGAAGGCGTTGTCCGCGGGCCGCAGGGGAGGAGGAGATGAAAGCGGCCCCGGGAGTCGTCGCCGGGCCCAGATGGGCGCCGGCTCTTGGAGGGCGCGGGAGGAAGGTGCGGGGGCCACGGCGATTCGGCCCGCCGCGCGGGACGGGGGCTGCAGCGGGAGCGCGTTCCTCAGCGCCTGCGCCCGCCCGACCGCCGGCGGCCCGAGGAGGCGGGAAAGCCTTCCCCCGGGGGAGCCTGGCCACGGCCACTGTCACCTTATGACTTGTCGCTGTGGGCGACATGGGGCCCAGGCCAGGCCAGGGGCGGCCTCTGGTGCCTGTAGGTGACCAAGCGCCCTGGCCTTGGGGGTCTTGTCAGAAAACCAGGGTCTCGGTTCGATTCAGAATTATGATAAAGGCGGGTAGGGATGAAGCGCCGTGGCCGGGCAGCAGCGCGCGTGGGAACGCGACTGCTTCGTGCCTCTAGGCGCGTTGCTGCTGAAACCTACGTGCCGGCTGGCTTCAGTTACTGTAGAAACCCGGGGCTCCGAGGCGGCTCCTCAGCTCCCCTCGCACACGCCGTGGCTGCCTGAGCAAGCTGCACTGCTGCGACCTCGGTGCCAAGGCCCGGCGGCCACGTTCCTTCAGCACTCGCAGCCGGGTGTTGCTCTTCCGCCTTCCCAGCTCGCAGCCTTGGGGAGCCGCTCCGGGGAGGCTCTGCCCGCCATCTGTGGGGTGACCCGGCCCGCGCCCTTGCCTGGGAGTAAGGGCCAGGCCGGGCAGGGAGGGGGCCAGGGGACGGGCTCAAGCTTGCGGTCTCACGGGAGCCGCACGACGGGAGTCACGGGCCTGTCCATTTTGTTAGTAGGCTGTTCCTCCACTTTCCCATGAAAATCCCTGTCTTCATAGAAGTATGAGATACTTCATTTTTTTCATGCTGGCTGCTGGAATTAGTAGATACAGGAAGAAAGCTGATGCAACTGTTAACAGACGAACACTACACAGACTTCTTTGTCCCCACAGGCATCAGAGTGGAAGAGTAAATTAAAATGAATCAGTATTCTTCCCTATAGATTAATCATTTTTCTGGATTAGAGCAAGTTTGAAAGCGAAGCGTCCTTGACATGGGTGGTGGGGGCGTTTTGGTGCCAAGGGTTAGGGAGAGCCGCACGTGAGCTTCCCCTGCAGGCCCGACAGCCCAGGCTGTCACCGTGCTCATGGGGGTGCCTAACACCTAGGGGACTGATGCAAACTGGCTAGGAGCTATTTCATGTAAGATTTGCATTAAATAAACATCTAGGCCTTTTCATCATTTCAGGTCCTTTAGTTCTGGCCCAAAGAGACCTTAAGGAAATGGAGGGGGACAGGGCTCCACTCATCCCAGTGTCACCACCCCTGGGCCGCGGTCGAGATGTCAGGCCATGGCAGCCAAGCAGGATGCCCTGAACTCTACCAAGACTGGCAGGTGGAACCTGGCATCCATCTGGCTAGGACTTACTTTAATCCTGGGTTCATAAGAAGGTGCCCATTCACCTAATTCTAATAAAATAAGCATATATTAACTAAAAAACTTTAACAGACCTATTTGAGAAATTGCTATTTAGCAAAAATATCTACTGTGAAGCAGGAAATGACTCCCCTTTCCTAATAAAAGTACCCGTTAAATAGCAACTGTACATATGAAAGCCATTTTTTGAAGTTGTGTGTAGGACTGAGAATCGTGTCGGCCAACATCCAGCTGAGGCCTCGCCGGCTCGGGTCACTGCGGCCCGCCTCAAGGAGGAAGCAGTCATGGCACAGACGGCGTTTCCGCTTGTTTGCACCTTCCTGTCTAGAGCTCCCGCCGCCAGGGCTGGCCCCTCCGAGTCTGTCCTCCTCCTGAGCGCCTCTCTCTTCTCTCACAGCTGTGCCTGCTCCACCGAGCCGCACCAGCTCTCCTGGGATGCGCAGGGATGACAGGCGTGATGTGGCCACTGCTGCGAGCCTGGCCCCGCAGGCTGGGCTCCTTCTGGAGGGTGCAAGCAGCGCCAAGGTGCGCCCCTCCACCTGCACGCTTGGCCTTTACAACAGATCGCCAGTCTTCCGGAGAAAATGAGAAAACGGTACAAAAGTTCTGCAAACTTTCTGTCGACATCAGGAAAATCCGGAGGTTGAAAGGATGGGTGCTTCAGGTGGAAGAAGCCTACGTGGAAGAGGTGGCAAGTGTCTTATGCGGCCTGGGTGCCAACGTGGCCCAGGTGGCCCGCATCCTGGAGCGCTGCCCAGAGGCCGTCCTCTGCAGCCCTGCCGCGGTCGCCACCCAGAGGGACCTCTGGCAGCTGGTTTGCGGCAGTGAGCACGAGTTACTCAGGCTAGTAGAGCAGTTTCCAGAGGCCTTCTTCTCGGTCCAGGACCAGCAGAACCTCAGGCTCAACATTCAGCTCTTTCAAGAGCTGGGGCTCAGGAAAGTGGTCATCAGCAGGTTTCTGACAACGGCATGCGGTATCTTCCATCATCCTGTTGAGAAGAACAGACAAATGATAGGCGTGCTCCAGGAGAGTTACCTCAACAGAGGCGGGTCAGAGGCCAACATGAAAGTGTGGCTACTGAAATTATTAAGCCAGAATCCGTTTATTTTGTTCAGTTCTCCTGTGGCTGTGAGAGAAACTCTAGAATGTATCCAGGAGCAGGGTTTCACAAACTCAGAAATTCTTCAACTTCTCTCCAAACTCAAAGGGTTCCTTTTTCATCTCTGTCCAAGAGGCATTCAGAGCAGTATTTCCTTCTTGAAAAATGCATTTGAATGCACAGATCATGACCTGAAGCAGTTAATTCTGAAATGTCCTGCACTTTTGTATTATTCTGTTCCAGTTTTAGAAGAGCGAATTCAGGGCTTAGTGAAAGAGGGTATTTCCATAGCTCAGTTAAGAGAGACACCGATGGTTCTTGAATTAACACCACAAATAGTTCAGTACAGAATAAGGAAACTAAATTCCTTGGGCTACAGGATAAAGGATGGACATCTAGCAGGTCTGAATGGAACAAAAAAGGAGTTTGAGGCTAACTTTGGCAAAATTCAAGCCAAAAGAGAAAGACCTTTATTTAACCCCGTGGCACCATTAAATGTTGAAGAGTAACTGACATTATTTCTAGCAAAACAGCATGAAATGTCTATAATTATGTGCCTCATGCTGCTTACAGTCAACTGTAGTTTCTGAGTTGTGTTTAAAATTACTTTGAGGGGCTGAGGATACAGCTCAACTGCACAGTGCTTGCCTGGGAAGTTCGAGGTCTTGAGTTCAGTATCAAAATATAATAAAGTTACTTTGAAGCATGATTTCTGCTATATTTTAAATTATAAATTGCATTTATTTTAAATAAAGTTGGTAACTTTATCCTTGAACTATTACTCCTAAAATTCAGGTACCACTGCCCTGTCCCTCTGTGACATTTTGTAGTCGGTCATTTCCGAGGAACTTCCTCCACCCAGTGCAGGGGTGCTGCCCCTCTTCACCTTGGGTGCAGACCCACCTTCCTCACTGCCGCCCTGAACCCTCGCTCCTGTGGTCCCACCTGTGCAGTTAGCCTTTAGTCAGTCAACACAGGGAAGAAGTTATGATACATTCTTAGAGAAAATGCCTGAATTTTGAAGTATCATAGAGAATCAAATATTTATCCAAAGAGAATAACCGAGAGCCTGCTTCTGGAGTCAGTTTGGGTAACTTGGCTGCCGTGGCTCGTGGAACACTCACCCAATCTGCTGCAGTGGAGGACAAGCTTAGTAGGACTCTCAGCTATGTGTCGTGCAGTTAGTGGCATCTGATGAAGTCTGTTCAGACCCGGTGAACAGGAGAGTAAGGAACTGGCACAGCAGAAGTCACTGTGCTGTTTTACCAAAAACATCAAGTACAAACAAATTAGAGAAGTTTTGTTTTTTGGGGGTTTTTTTAGAGAAGTTTTTTATGGAAACTTTCCTGTAAAATTTTTCATCTGAAATTATCAATTCATACACATTTGCAGTAAATACAGCTTTCTAGAAAACTTTGAGACTCCAGGTCTGCCTGCCCAGGAAAAGGCTGGTGCGCACTGGAGTGGAAGCATTTCCGAGTTTCCGCTCTAACTTGTTCCAAGACAAATACTACTCAGACACAGACTGGCTCGCTTTCAGCTGTCAAGTGTGACCTTTCTAACAAATACACAGCCAACAGTTGACGGACAGTGAACATCTGAGGCCAGGGATGCACAGCCTTTCAACATTAATGAAAAGATTAAGGAGAATGCAGGCGGTCCTCTATTCATCCTCAAATGCTTGTGACCCTTGCCTGAGCCGTAGGACAGGGTGTGACAACACTGTCCAGAAGCACTGGGACAGACCAGAGGCTGGAAATTTAAACAGGTTGAGACTACAGCTTTGTGTAGCACGTTAGTGGGGTTGGCCTGCACAGGGTGCAGGGGGCTGGACGAAGGAGACCTGTGAGGTAGCTCACGAGAACGAGGACAGCAAGCCCGAGAGCGCTGAGATCCGCGTCTCCAAGGACAGGTGCTGACGCTCCGCAGGCCAGTCGTCCCGGCCTCACGCTGAGCACGGTTCACGGCAGCCGCAGCCCCCTCAGGCGGGCCACGAGCGGGCTTGGTTTTCACCTAGGCCAGAGCCTTCAAGAGTTGTACTTTGCCTTTTTTCCATTCTTACTCAGAGCACCTTAAAAACAAGATTTCAAAAATCTAACACCATAGCCAATGAGCATTCCCACGCAAAATGGGCCAGATGCCATTTCCCAACCCCGTGCCATGCTGCCCATTTAGCGTGTAATTGTGTTCACGTCACTTCGTAGCCACGAGTCCCTCACGCAGCAAGTGCAGATGCAGGACCCAACTGCCACTTCCGGACCAGGTGAACAGCCATGACTTGGCTAATTTGGAAGTGACAGTGACAAGGCTGCCAGCTTGCCCCTCTGTGAGGACCAGGAATGCGGACAGTGACAGGCAGCCCAGCCGGAAGCAGCTGCACTTCCCACCGCGCCCCACCCTCCAGCCTCCCTGGGTCCAACCCAGGCCGGGACCAGCACACGTGCGGTGGCGATGCAGTCACTGAGGGAAGTAAAGCCTGGAACTCTGCGTTTTTAATCTTTATTAGAGCTGCTTAAAATATATCTGTATTTCACTGTTGTGTTGGCATCAAAATACATATTCTGGGATGTCATGTTTGTACATTACCACAAAAATTAAAAACTGGTCATAGTATTTCAGAACTGCTATGTAACTAAAAGTTTAAAGATTGTCCTGCTTTCAGTTTTCCCTTATTATATATCTTTATGAAACGTTCCATTTTTGCATATCATAGTGCTTTATTAACAACTCATGTGTTCTTTGCCCATCCCTTTAATACAAAACAGTTATTCAAATTATTTGATCTGACATTTCACTAGTACAAGGATTTGTGATGTCAACATTATTTATCTTTGTGTGACAAGCGCCCTCTCAGAACGTAAGCGGAGCCACAGACGCATCGAGGTGCATACCAGAACTCAAGCTTCTGGAAGCGAGCAAGTCCTGTCTTCACAGGCCACGCTGCCTATCCACAGAATAACTGGGAAGGCGTGGGAGACATCCAGCCATGCACGTCAGAGGCCAAGCTGGCTGGGCCACAGCCTCTGTAACGACTGTCACTGGGATGGCTCCTTGGTCCCATGCAAAGCCCTTCTCAACTAAGCTGTAGCTTCAAACTGCAAGCAACCTTGACAAGGTAAAGTATACCAGGTGGCTCATCTACAGCAGAAATTATAACCATTTTTCCTCAAGCAATTTTAAGAACAAGCAAAGTTGAAAATATAAATATGCAAGCATACAGGAAATCAAAGTCTACACTTTGAAGAACTACGGTACAAAGCACAGCAGAGTCCATGACTATGGAAGATAAGAGAAACACAAACTGGCAAGAAAGCAATATGTAATTTCAAAATTACAGGAAACAAGTTTTCCAATACTATTTAGATAATTAAGCATTCAACTATTAATTTTGAAGTTTTAAAAAAGATCCCATTTGATAATTAAAACGACCAAAATAATATACCTTAAATCATGTTGCATAAAATAAATGACCCTTTTAATTGAATTCTTTAATGAACTTTTCAGTTTTGTATAAGCAGAAAAGTCCCAGAAGTCTGTAGATTCGCTCAAAACCCCTGCTGGTCTTCATGAAAATGTTAAAGGTTCCTGTCTTCTTCATCCAGTAGCCCACATTATCAGTGCAGTGCTCCATGGCTTACAAGCCAGCATTTATACCTCAGGTGCAGGAGTGCTCCGACTGCGTCCCCAGGGACTCAGTCCTGACTTAGTCACAGCAGCAGCTCCCACCGGCCTGCTTCCTCCTGGGGCAGAGAGGCCTACAGCTCCAGACTTCAGGTTCTTCAGGCCTCGGTTATACTGCTCAGGAGGAAGAGCAATGCCTGCTCCACGTGTCACGTGTCGGAATGCGCATGAAGCCAAGGACCAACAGCGGTAGGCAAATTACCCGCCTGGGAACGGATGAGACATGCTGGCAGGTTACGGAGACACCTCCCCATCTGGAAGGGCAATGCCAGTTCCCTGCCAGGAGGCAGCTGGGAAGGCAGTCTGAAGCCCCTTTACACGACTGGAAGATGATCTACTTGAGAAGCCTACAGAAATACCAAGAGCACACCCACTGCCACTCCATACTACTCTATGGAGCTTGCTGCATTTGGAAGTCAGTCTTCAATTGTTTGTGGTTGCTTTGATCTGATTTTTAAAAGGGAGTGCTCCTGATGATTTAAGATGTCTGAAAGACAGAACAAGTGTGAAGGATGCTTCCTATCTTGTAGGCTTTAAGTACTTCTTAGGAACTTAATATTTGTTCCTCTTTAACATGACACCTTCTAACGCAGCTAAGAAACGATCCTTAGGCACTGTGAGGTGTATTGATGGTGGAGCATGAACCCAGGTCTAAGTACAGTCTGACTAGCCACTGTCCAACCATTAACAAGCACTGTCTGAGCCATGCTTCTCTACTCCTGAGATTCTTAAGGAAAACCTACTTCCCAACCTTCCAGAGAGCCCAGAGCTAATTTTAAGAACTACACATACAAAACTATTAGAAAAGATGTTTTCTTCCGTAAGGCATCGATGATTAAATAAGCAGAATGCGTATCTGACAAAAGATGGTTAACAGTATCGTGAAACCAGTTATCTTTTACACTTCTCTAATTCCTGCCACTTCTGCTAGCTTAAATAAGACTGCTTCCTGGCCTCAACTGCTGCTTTAGAAACTAAGACATCTGAAGCCATGAGGCATGTCAAAGGTGCAGGTGATGTAGTTCTCGGCTCGCTCCCGAGGGCACGTGAGTTACCTGGCACACTGTACACATGGAACTGGAAAGGTCATCTAACTAAATTCGACTTTCACATTTTAGTCAGACTGAAAGACTTAGAGGAAATGTTCAGACATACCGTATATTCAGTTACAGCTGAGGAAGTGTAACATTTTACCAGATAAAAAGCTGGAACGTAAGTATGAGAAGCCTTCACACACTGTGCTGGTATTGGTCTCTAGCTGAAAGCCAGTCAGCAATACTTTCAACACAGCAGTCAGAAGATAATCATCCGGAACAGGTGATGACATTGTAGTCCGTAACGTAGTGACTCGGTGCCACTGGCATCAGAGTGCAGTGGAAAGCAAGTGTACCTCCATAGCTTAGTCAGACTTGTCTTTCTTCTTTCCCGTCAAGGGCACTTTGTTGACAACGGCAGACCCTACCGCTGTGACACCTCCAGCCACAGCAGACACGCCCCCTCTCACCAGCCCTATTCCCATGGAAGGCACTGTTGTAACAGCTGTTTTGGTCACCTCCAGACTCTTTCCACCAATCCAAGCCACACCGCCAATGGTGGCACCGACAGCACCCTTGGTAACACTGAAGATACCCCCAGTCACACGGGACAGCATGCCTGGCTGCTGCTGCGGATGATCCTTCATGGAACCTAAGGAGAGAAAACATCACATCAAATCCAAGTCCCCGCATGAGAAGTAGTCATCAGTGACCTCTTGGCACGTGACTAAAGACAACATTGAACACGTATTACACCCTCTGCTCAGGTGCTGTCTCAGTGTCTGGGAAGGAATGCTGTAGCCACTATGCAACAGTCATAAACAGAACCCTGTTTTCAAGTGTGTCCCCTTGATGTACAGGCTTATCCTATAAGGAACATGAAAACACAGGAGATAAACACAGGTGACCTTTCATTTCCTCACAAGGATGCAATCAGTCCTCACTGGAACGAGGTCCTCACCTAAAGTCCTGGCTCTCAGGGCACATCCTCAGAGCCCGCTGGCTCCTCGAGACATCTTTTGCCTCCCAGGAGGTAAAAAGGGTTTCACAATAGAGCACTGCCCGTCTTTCAACTTTCACTCTGCCACAAGCCCACAGCGGACTAAGTCGGGCTCCAGCATCAGGACTGCACAGAGCCTGTGGGCACTGACCCCTGATCACGTTGTTCTGCAAAGAGGTACTTCTCATAAAAGCATGTTAACTCTTAACATGGAATAGGTTTGTAAGGTTTACTCAGTCAGGAAAGGATGAAACCTTCTCCATTTTTATTGCTAATATGGTAGACACAAGCTCTGTGGGGCCTCAATTTTTGAGTGTAAAAGTGACCTGAAACCAAACAGCATGGGAATCATTAACTTAAACACACTTGCATCACTACTCAGTTGTGTCCCTTAAAATTTATTTCAAGGTCTAATGCTGTGTCAAGACAGGAAAATTAAAGTAGTCATTAAAGTCATACTGCCTAAAACCACGTTGCTCAGACGGACACAGGCAGCTAAACGACATACAGCATGGCCAATGTTTCTGTCACTTCCTCAGTCACTCTTGCCTGACAGAATCTGTGCTTTCAATGCTCTCTGCAGACACCCACGAAAAGACAAGCCCAGCCGAAAAATTAGCTTTTCCCAAGTCATGATTTAGTTTTCTTTGCTTTCTTTGAAAAGAAAGATTACATTAACATGTAACTGCAAACTGCTGAGGGGTCTGACAGAAGATCTAGTCAGTCCTTGACTGTACCAGCTTCAAATGAGCACAGTAATTTAGGCAGCAGCAACATGGTTCTCCCAAACATCACTGAAAAGTGTAAGTCCTTGGGGACACAGTTCCAAACCACAGCACCAAACTACCAGATCCTAGCAGAGTGACAATCACAGCTGGTAATAGGCAACCTACTAATACTTAATATCCAAAGCACAAATTCACTTTGAGACAGTGGGGGGGGGAGTTGTTTTTTCATTTTTGGAGCCTTTACATTTATTCTAAGTAGACAAATCTCTTGAGACTAGTTAAAACAGTACACAGGGATGTATATAGCAGTGGCTACATTTCAAAAGAGATCAGTCAAATGCTTTCAGTAAAACTAAGCAGTGGGGCCTGGGTGTAGCTCAGTCATTGAACCTATCCTGCCCAGCAAGGGTGAGGTCCTGAGTTCAATCCCCAGCACCAAAACACCTTTGGAAGCAAACTGACATAACAATTTAAATGTCTACAATAAAAGACAAGGCTCTAGATATGCCATAAGCTTACAATGTAAAGGATTTCATAACTTGTAGCTTTTTTGTATTTAAGGTCAAAAACAGGAAAAGCAAAACTGATCTGAGGGGGAAAAAAAAAGACAAAACTGATCTGAGGGTTGCAGGTGACTAGCCAAGTGCCAGATGCTTCATTTGCAAAACTGTCTTGCTTTGCTAAATTTGGTACATGTGCATTTAACGAGGACAAATGATTTTTCACAATCCAATACGGTATTAATACAGTTCTAATTAGTGTCCTCTTAATTACACCACATAAACTGTGCTTTTTAAGCAGCTGGCCCATGAAGACACTCCTGAGGCTCTGCTCTCTTCCTTGACAGACAATCAAGTTCCTGGGGGGGCCTCCATTTATCCCTTTCTTTCTTCTTTCCCAACAGCTTAACTCGCACTGAAGCCTAGGTTTGTTGTTTTTTTTTTTTTCCCAAAAACCCTATGGTTCAAGTCCTAAAAATAAGGCAAAGAAAAGAGCTAAGTTAATAATTTTCTAAGCTACTCTGCCAAATAAACCAAATTAAATGGAGTCAACTAGTTCTTCCACCTTCTTTTAGGCTTAAGAGAAGTTTTTTACTGTTATTTTCCTAGCAATTTTATTTGCCTACAATGTAATATATAAAGAAAAGTGAGACAGTGGGGGACAGAAATGGAAAGAAAATACAATGCTTAGAGTTAGGACTTGCAGCAGTCAACATGCAACTCTCCAAGGAGATCATTATTTGCATTAACAGACTGCACCAGTGGTGGCGAGCCCGTGGCGCTCATGCTGCAGCGGCTGTTTGTGTCACTGCAGGCTTTAAAAGGCTCGCCACCACTGGACACCAAAACCAGACATAGAAAGTGTTCATAGCCATTTTCTGTTGGCGATCAGGACCAGCGTGGGGGCCATGAGTGTTTGCAAAGCTTTTAGAAAAGACAATTCATGATGTCATCATTTTCAATCTAAAAAAGAATGACACTTCAGAAGGCCAATCTAAGCAGTCCCCAAGGCCAAGCAGTAAGAACATCTCATATGCCTCTTGCATATTTGATTTTTGGTATGCAGGACATCAAAAATACCGCCCATCCTTTCTGTGTACATACCTATAACTCTGTACGGATGAAAAGATGCTCTTGTAATATGATCTAAAAATAGAGGGTGGACAGAAAATAGGCCTCATAAAATAGAATCACCTCGTACCTCTACTCACCGGTATCTGTGCTTCTCTACTACAGGCTACGGGTTCATTTGGCGCTCTATTTACTGACCAGGTAAACAGACTATGATTCTTTACAGACAATAAAAATAATCAGAGCTTTAATTCACCAGGAAATTTCTCCCATTCTTAGTGTTACAGATGCATCTTACCTTCTGGTGGCTCATCACTAAGGTAGGATGGGATCTCTTGTTGATTTTTATCTGCCTGATTCATGATTTCCTAAAAAAACAAACACACACATTACTTTTACAGTGGCACTACCATTTATCACATCCTAAATTAACCAACTTTATTCAGAAACCATTTTTTAAAACTCACAAGACTACTTCACCTTCTCTATTTCAAACTGTAATGTTTAAACAATACCCTAGGGGACTGGGGATATAGCTCACTGGCATCACACCCGCCTGGCGAGCATGAGCTCTTGACTTTGACTCCCAGTACCAAAATAAAGCAAAACCCTAACTTGTACCAGTAGATACAAGTCCTTCCAAAGCACCAACAGAATAGCAGCCCCTGGTCAGATTCCCTACACAGCAACCGTGCAGAACTGAAAGCAGTCAAGGAAGGCTAGAAGGGTGCCAAGAGAAAAAATAAGCTCACACCCCTATCTCACAGACACCGCCCGAATCAGGAAAACTTCTGCAGACTGCTCTGTTGTTCTTAGAGCTCTTAGGAACAAAGATAGCAATGGACTTGAAAATCTACTTACAGAAAAATATACATGATTATTCCTATGTAAAGTAGGAGGCCAGGAGATAAACTATCGTGAGGTAAAAGAACATGCTTAAAATTTCCTTCCCCAATTGCCTGTACCGTCTTAAAATCTTTGCTATTAAATTCACATGACTGGGCCAGCCAGATAGCTCAGCAGGTGAAAGCTCCTGCTTAGGAAGACACAGGGACCAGGTTCAGTCTCCAGTGTGCCATGCCAGCCCCACCCCGAGGAACATGCTGAGACAGACTGAGCCAGGGCGTGGTGGCAAGTGGGCCTGTAAGCGCTTGGGAGGCTGCAAACAGGAGGATCACTAGAGTCCGATCTGTGTAGTGAGACTCTGGAGATCCTGTACTAAATACATACATACATACATTCACACATTCACATGACTAAGTAAAAATTAAATCAAGTTGGTCTAAAAGTACTCTCTATGATATGCTATCTTGCTTGAGAAAACACAACAGATTTGTGACCCCCTACAGTCAAGCAAGTATTTCTTAGCCATACACCCTTACAGCCTGTTACCACACTGAACATACACAATGGGTAAAGAGAGCATAGAGACTTGAGAAGCCTTCTTTTTTTCTTTCTTTCTTTCTTTTTTTTTTTTTTGCTAGCTCAGGCTGCCCTAAGGGCAGGTCTGTTGTGGCATGTGGTGCTACCCCGGTTCCCTGCGCCTGAATTTGCCCAAGCAGGCGCTTTAGACAATGAGCTAACCCACAAGTGCCCCCCCACCATAGTAGAAACTGACAATGAACCTTAATCATAAATTAGGGAACAAACAGCGACTGAGCACCTACTGAGGACTAGGTGATGGGACACTGTCCCGCAGACCCGCAGGAGGAAGGATTCCGATTCAGGCAGGAGCTGCTGCTCATCAGGCAGTGCCATCCACTCCAGGTTACTCATTTCCTGCGGCAGTTTTAGGTATCAGATAGGCAGATAAAGAGCAAGGGCAAAGGGCCCTAGGTGGAGCTCAGCTGTGGCGGCAAGAAAGCAGACAGGGGCCACACCAAGGGCTGAGGTCAGGAGTGGCTGGTGGCTCAGGCAGGCCCTGCAGGCAGCCAGAGCCTGCCTCTTGAGGAAAGGGAGTGAGGGGCTCTGATTTACATTTTTACAAGATCTTTCTGACTGCTGTGGGGAGAACAGACAAGAGAGTACAGCATGAAAACAAAGAACTGCTAGCAAAGGCCTACAGAAATGGGATTTTCACTTCCCGCAATTCATCTTGCCATGTCTTTAAACCCGAAATCCTAGCTGGCTGTGGTGCTGTGTGCCTGTAATCCCAGCAATCAAGAGGCTGAAGTAGGCAGACAGCTGCAAGTTCAAAGCCAGCCAAGACCACAAAGTGAGTTCAAGACCAGCAGGAGCAGCACACTGCAACCTTGTCTCAAAAAGACCAAACCCCTAGACCCTCTCTGCACCCCATAGCCCGAGCCCACATTAGCATGTCTCATGAGGATCTTTTACTGCTCTAGTGCAAGTCCTGACTCAGGGCACCTAGCAACGGCACTACTCTCATCACGGTCTGCTTGGTAAATTTAGCACATCTTAGGTGTGTTAAAATTAAAAATAGCAAAGCTATGTAATCTCTTATAGAAAGCCAAAAGATGATAACTGGAACACTCCTTGGAGAAGAGATTCTCGATGACTCTCTTAATTTAAAAATGCCCTCAAACTTGAAAACTGTATTTCCCTTAACATGTATTTTTTCTTTATCATCATCATAAGCTCATAACAAATTATACAGCATAATGCTTAAGGCTCTGTGATCAGAAAGCCTAAAGTTGATCCCCAACTTGACCCTAAGCTGCATAGCAGAGGACTAATAGCTTCATTAGTCTTGCCATTTAGTTTCCAAATAGAACTTAAAGATATTCTTGGGCCAGGGAGATAGCTCAGCGGACTAAGCGCCTGCTTAGGCAAGAGTAGGGAAGGGGTTCAATCCCCGGCACCACATGCTGTGCCAGCCCCGCCCCCAGGCACATTGAGCCGACCACTGGGGCACGCTGACGCTTGCCTATAATCCCAGCACTGGGGAGGCTGAAAACAGGAGGATCACTGCGAGTCTGAGCTGCATAGTGAGACCCTGTACAAAATACATAAAAATTTTTTTAAAAAGATACTTTAGCCCTAGCTGTAACATACATTTAACAAATTTGAAAACAAGACATTCAGAAACTTCTAGCAGAATGTGTTTTTTTTTAATTTTTTTTTTTTTTTTGTGTGTGTGTGTGTGTGTGTGTGTGTGTGTGTGTGTGGCCAGCTCAGCCCACCAGGGGGCGGGACTGGCTGGCATGTGGTGCTGGGGGATTGAACCATGGTCCCAGTGCTTTTGCTTAGCTTAGCTTGTTCTAAGCAGGTGCTTTAGACCACTGAGCCATCTCACCAGCCCCTAGAATGTGTGTTTTTCAATATCTATGGAAAATGGCTATTTTAGAGGCACCCCCCACACACACACACACACTGCACAAGAAAAGATACCTCTGTGTAATTTGCCTATCACGGCAATCCAGCACCTGTACTAACACACACACACACACACACACACACACGATCCCCTGGCTGATCACCCATCACCAGAAGTGTGAGCATCCTTCACAGAAATGGGCAAATCTCAGGATTTTAACTGGAGCTAAAGCTGGCTGCGATTACGGCAGGAACTGCACACAGGGCAAGAGTTTCTTTTTGGTGCCAAATCCCTGCTATAGTCTCACTTTCTGCTCCTGATACAGGATCCTTTCACCACTGTACTGTACAATTAAATATCACCAGTTAAAGATGAGTACTGCTTTATACATTAAGACATGTATAAGACTGTGTACGATGTCATTAAGACAACTGTAAATTAATCTTAGCAGTGCAAATGGACTTCATCCTTCTGTGTGAGCAACAACAGACAGAAGGACAGAAAGATTATATGCAGTCAGCACTACTTCAGGGAGGTAGAAAATAGTATTGACTTTTTCCTGTCTAAATAACGCCTGGGGGCTGGAGAGATGGCTCAGTGGTCTAAAGCACCTACTTGAA